AATGTATATATTACAATGGTATCTGGAAGTGGGGGGGGATATATTGGGCAGCAAGTGAATATTTTGTCCCTGACGTTGATGAGTTGGAAGCAGAGGGAATGGACAAGTGTAAGGATTTGAGCAACTTTGACAAGGACAAAATTGTAATGTCTAGACGACCTGGTCGGAGCAACTCCAATACTGCAGCTCTGAAGACACAGAGCATCCCAGGTTGTTGTGTATGGGGTTGTGTAGCCGGACTGTCTCCGCCCACACTTCGCTCTGCCGCACTGTGATAGGCGGCCGAGCGGTGTGGGAGGAGAGACACCGGCCGCTCATAGCACTCTTGTCCCGCATCGCTCGGCTGGCTGTCACTTTCTCTCCTCTGCGCTGGGACAAACAGCAGCGCCCAGCGGGGAGGAAAGAAATCACGGATGCGCCGATGTATCGGCAGGAAAATGGCACATTCGGCATTTAGCCAAAAGGGCAATTTTCGGCCGATATATCGGTGCATCTCTAGTGCTCATGCTATCCCATGTCCACCGCCAAAAGCACCTAGAATGGGCATATGAGCCTCAGAACTGGAAGAACTGGACCACGGAGCAATGGAAGAAGGTGGCCTGGTCGGATGAATCACGTTTTCTTTTACATCGTGTGTGTGTCACTTACCTGGGGTAGAGATGGCACCAAGATGCCCTATGGGAAGAAGGCAAGCCAACGGAGGCAGTGTGATGCTTTGTGAAACCTTGGGTCCTGCCATTCTTGTGGATGTTACTTTGACATGCACCACCTACAGAAACATTGTTCCTGACCAAGTACAGCCCTTCATCGAAACAGTATTTCCTGAGGGCAGTGGCCTCTTTCAGGAGGATAGCGCGCCCTGCCACACTGCAAAAATGGTTGAAGAATGCTTTGAGGAACACAAGAACGAGTTTGAGGTGTTGACCTGTCCTCCAAATGCTCCAGTTCCCAATCTAATCCAGCATCTGTAGGATGTGCTGGAAAAACAATTCATGGAGGCCGCACCTCACATCTTACAGGACTTGAAGGATCTGCTACTGACGGCTTGGTGCCAGATGCCACAGCATTCCTTCAGAGGTCTAGTGGAGTCCATGACTGGACGGGTCAGGAAAAGCGGGACCTACTCAATATTAGGCGGGTGATCCTAATGATGTGGCTGATTGGTGTATACTTTAAGATAGTCTGTAATAATAACTCACATTATATGTGTACTGAAAATGCACTCAAATTTTCTTTGAAATGACACTGCGATGATCTTTGGGGAGGGCGTCCAGCCAAAACGTTGTTTTTCACTTTGGGAAAGAGAAGGGAAGAATTAGAACCCTGTTGAGTTTTTACAGCTGTCCGGCACTCCTTTCATTTACAGTCACAACAGGTTCACTGAACAGGAAGTGAGAGAAAATCTGTAAAAGCAAGACAGAAATAGAAAGTTTTTAGTAGAAGAGAGGAAGGCTACAACTCCGGTAATTGTTTATTATGGTTCTGTCCCTATTCAAGTTCTTGTAGAATGTTGTCACTGGAACAATAGTCGGGGGTTAGGCCCCATTCACACTGGCAAATGGGGCTGATTGGGGGAGTCTCAAGAATTGAGACTCGTGAAAATATGTGGATGGGGAGTAGCATAGAAAGCAATGACAGCGGTCGCAGCCGTTTGCATGTAATCGGACACGTGACGTTACGATTACTTGTGGACGACCGTTCCTGGAAGCAAGTTGTGTCCTAGAAGGATTGTCCCCAAGTAATCTCCGTATGTCCGATTTATATGCGAGCGGGTGCCGCCAGATGTTATTTCCTTGTTCGCTTCAGTCTTATGGAGCAATAAATGCAGCTCTGGTGCAAGTGAGAATGAAGCCTTATCTAATGGAGTCCAAGATAGCAGTAATAACCTGACAGGGGTTCTAATCCTTCCCCATTCTAGCCAAAACTAAATCTGTACACAAACAGCGATTTATAAATAGTATTTTATTTGATCTGATTAAAAGTAGCTTTAAAGGAGACTTTTCCCCATAGTTCTCCTAAGGGTAACGGGAGGACACAAAGTAGCGTCCTCCCGTCACCCTAGACTCAGTATACCGCGAGCTACTGCTCGCGGTATACTGAGACGCCGCAGCTGAAGTGGATCCCGACAATTACATCTGGATCCGCCCAGCTGTGTGAGTGACAGCTGGCTCTGCCTATCTAGAGGCAGAGCCAGCTGTACCCTCCCCCATCAGCGCTGGCGGGGAGGGAGGAATCCAGCCCCTCCCCTGTCACGGCAGAGAGCCGTGACAGGATCGAGAGGTGAGCGAACGCCGGTATGTGTTCGCTCACCTCCCAATTTCCTGAGCCGACCTGTGACAGTCTCATTGTCACAGGTCGGCTAGAACTATGAGGTGAGTGAAAAGCACTCACCTCATAGTTCTCCTTTAAGGAGATCCCGTCTTCTTGCTCCTTCAGGGAAAAGTGACTGGTTTTGTGTAAAGCCAAACCCCAAGCCACCTCCTGCTCTCCTCTCCAAGCCACCTCCTGCTCTCCTCTCCAAGCCACCTCCTCCTGCTCCTTCAGGTGCTGTTGCTGAAATATACTTCTTGGTTTTCAGTATGGGGAGCAATGCTCTGGCCATGGTCTGGTGATGTCACACCAGAGAAGGGGGAATGACTCTGAGCTTCGATTCCTGGTATTTAATGATGGCCACAATGGAGGAATATGGGGGCACTATGGAAATTTGAATAGAAGGTTGACCTGTTGGCCCTTTATACAGACCCTGTCACTTTATCCTGAATTGGAATGGTGACAGGTTCTCTTTAAATATATTTCCTACTGCTGTGTGGGTAATAATTGCCCATTGCAGTTTTTCCACCAGCCTGACAGATGGTTTTATTATTGGTCATACATATGTAGCATGCAGGGGCTGCACAGATACCAGAAGGCCAGCAACACTTGGCTTCCAACTATCTGAAGGCAGAAGGCCAGTGACCTTCCTATGATGACAGTGGAGGAATGTATTGCTGTCATCCTCCATTACAATCACCTGAGACAAATACATGTTCTCTTTAACCCTTTCGCTGCCAAGGACGTATGGCATACGGACCTACAAAAGTGCTTCCAGCTGGCCAGCTCAGTATGCCATACGGACCTGGCATTTACAGTTCTACTATAAGCTGATGGTCGCTTTAGCGACCATCAGCTTATAGTAGAACTGTTCAGCAGACTGTCCCCTTTAAATTAATAGCTGTCATCAGCGGCTCACAAGCCGCTGATGACTGCTATTATCAAAAATACCGGGGAGGGATGAGATGGTTTAACACCGCGGATGTCAACTGGTTAAAAAATGTGTAAAAAAAAAATAATAAAAAAAAAAGCACAACCCCTCCCTCCCCCCACATAACACACACATATTGTGGTGCACACCATGCGCTGCAGTGCGTTGTTAGAAGTGTAAACTTGCACTTTCACAATATAACCCTTTGAAGCTGCTGGAGCTATCTTGAGGCCACTTCATTTCCTCTCTGATTGACCTCCATCGTTTAATGATCACTTCATCATTACTGTGGTCGGCCCCCCTCTAGCAGCTATTAGCTGTCTCTGCCATCAATAATTTTGTTCCTGAACTTTAACTTTAAAAGAAGACATCCCTGGAATCCCTTTAGACGTGCCTGCTCAAGCATTTAATCAGCAGAATGCATAGCCAATGTCTGCAGCACACCGTGGCCAACATGAAGAAGCGGGCACACCTAAAGGGATCCCGGGGATGTGTTTTTCATATAACGCTCAGAATACTGTGACCTTTAGCCCTCATTCACACGAGTAACAGCCGGCCCATACAGAACTGTGCAAGGCCGTATCGGGCCGTTACCCAGAAGGACAGGTGCTGCGTGTGATTTGTACGCAGCAGCCTGTTCTTCTCTATGGGAGTACGCGGCCGTATGCTTGTCCGTACTCCTACGCTGACAGGATGGATCCTGTCTGCGTCCGAGCAGGGACACCCACACGGACGTGCAGTTCGGGTGAGCATCCGGCCGCGTACTCCCATAGAGAAGAACAGGCTGCTGCGTACAAATCGCACACAGCACCTGCCCTTACCGGGAGCGCCCCGATACGGCACGCAGCACGGTTCTTTTTTCTTCATAGTTGCGCTGTCCCACTTTGGTGAGAGTGTCATACAGTTGTGTGAGAAAGAAAGTACACCCTCTTTGAATTCTATGGTTTTACATATCGGAACATAGTAAAAAAAATCATCTGGTCCTTAGCAGGTATTAGAATTAGGTAGATACAATAACACATGACATATTACACCATGTCAGTATTTATTTTACAAACATAAAGCCAAAATGGAGAAGACGTGTGAAAAACTAAGTACACCTTATGATTCAATCGCTTATAGAATCACCTTCAGCAGCAATAACTTGAACTAATGGTTTTCTGTATGACTTTCTCAGTCTCTCACATGGTTGTGGAGGGATTTTGGCCCACTGCTTCACTCACTTCACACAAGTTGCTTCACTCTATTGAGGTTTGCAGGCATTTGTTTATACACAGGTCTGTTAAGGTCTTGCCACAGCAGTTCATTCTTGTTGAGGTCTGGACTCTGGCTGGGGCATTGCAACACCTTGATTTGTTTCTTTTTCAGCCATTCTGTTGTAAATTTGCTGGTGGGATTGGGATATTTGTCCTGTTGCATGACCCAATGTCACACAGATGGCCTCACATTTGAATCCAGAATACTTTGGTATACAGAGTTCATCATGGTTGACTCAATGACTGCAAGGTGTCCAGATCCTGCGACCGCAAAACAAGCCAAATCACATCACCCCTCCACCATCGTGCTTGACAGTTGGTATTAGGGATGCACCAATACCGTTTTTTCGGTATCGAGTACCGATTGTTTTTTTTTTTCCGGTACTCAACGATATCGAGTACCGGTGCCGTGTGCCCCGATTATCAGGAAGTCGGGCCTCCTGAGAATACTGTGACTTCTTAGCAATTCAGGAAGCCTCCTGGCTTCCTGAATTGCTAAGAAGCCGGCTTCACTTGTTGCTAGGCAGTGTGGCTCCCTGACCAATCAGTGAGGCGTGTCATGAAGAGCTGCCCGGCTTCCTAGCCAATCAGGAATCCGGGAGGGGGGTCATAACCCACCACCCGGCTTCCTGATTGCAAAGAAAGTCAGCTCCATGCTCCCTCGGCACTGCTGGTCAGAGGGAGATCTCCCTCTGACCGGAAGTTCCAGTATCGAAGGTAAGTATCGGAGCATTAGGGCGAGTGCGATTACTCGCCCAAATACTTGGTTTCGTGGAATGACAGCTGAGGAGCCGGAAGTGATATAAACAGTGTTGCTTCCGGCTCCATGCAGCGGGGAGGAGATCAGTGAATGGCTGTTCTCCGGGCTCTCTCCCCTCTACCTGCCGACACTTGTGATGCAGGTCCTGGGCCAGCAGGAGGGGCAGAGGAGACCAGTAAGCAAGGCGGGGGTGTCAGGCGGGCTTGGAGGGGGGTCACACTTCACCGGGTCCTGGAAGCGATCTGGCGGCAGTTCAGCCAACCGTGGGCTTTACACAGCTGAACATATAGCTGGCAAGAGTCTGGTTAGAGGGGCTCGCTGACATCGACTTACAGCATATGTCGTTGGCAGCGAAAGGGTTAAATGCTTTAACAAAGCTTTTGAAGTAATGGCCGCTTCTGCATTTTTTTTATATAACAGGTTGGCTATAACACATGGATTTCCACCAGTAGTCTTTTATCTATTTTCCATATTTATATAGTGCTTATCTATTGGGGCTCTTGTGTACGGGTGCCGGGCCCTGTACAACGTAAATGCTGAAGTATTCCTACCAGCACAGAGACCCCGTTGCAGCGTATAGCCTCAGATTCAAGTCAGTGGCTCACAATTACATTCCCATCGAGCAAATCATTTTGCACATTGTGTTCAGCTACATGTTTCATTTCTTGGGTGATCCAAAACCAGCAGCTCCATTGGCTCCCGTACGTATTCTGAGATAGCCGAGTAATGAAATGCTTTGTCTTTCTTTACATTGACTTGTACTCTTCACTGCTCATGGTATGTTTGTAAATTGTTTCCAGATTTGTGGCAATGAGACCGCAAGCGGCTGTGGACGGTAAAGTGTTTATCCAGAGAGACTACACCAATGGCACTTTGTGTCAGTTCCAGACGAAGTTTCCCTCTGAACTGGAGACCCGGGTATGTGTATGGGCAAACTGTCTTCTTGTGCTTGCCGATGAGGAATATTGAAGCAGAACTCCACCGATTTGCTTTCCAGTTTTGAATGAAGTGAAGAATTTTTGTTTTATATTCCCAAAGGATCTTCATTTCTATTGTGGAAGTTTTGGAATGCCATAACCCATAGCACCCACCCACCCCCTTGTATCCTGCCTAGCAGCCTTAAGACCCAGGGCATTTATTAAAGGGTATGTCCACTTTCCTAGGTGAATCTATAAAAATAGAATTACCCGCTCCACTCTGGCCCCCTCCCCTGTTATATTTGCCTTTCGGAGAATGCTCCTTCCCTTCCTCTAATACAGATGTACTATCCATACCCCATGCTGGCATCTAGCGCAGCCCTGTGCTATGGATTTTGAATTTAATTTGCAAATGGCAAAGACTCATTGGTTACCTGACCGTGGAGGGAAAGGAAAGTATTGGGGAGAGAGGAGGTGCTTCCATTTTCCCAGATTCAGTGGACTTACCCTTTAAAGTCATATTGTGCTTCTAAAGTAGCAAGTTACCCCACCACCTCCTGGTACCTGTTTATTGACCCATCAATGTGAAGGACAGCCTTGATGACCAATGGTGAGCGGGATGTGGCAGGCCAGTACATATAAATACAAGCAAGAGCCTGAAAATGCAGAATAGATTTTCCAGTCAATATCCTCGATTAACTCTGCATTATTAGTGACAATTAGATCTAAGATGGCATTTTTTCTGGTAGGAGTCTCCACCATCTGGTCCATGAAGTTGTCGCGCAACATGTTTAGAAATCGCCCCGCCTTTGCCGAACCCGAAGTTCCATTGGCCCAATTTATGTCTGGGTAATTGAAGTCACCCATCACGACTACATTGCCCTCTCTCCCAGCTATTCCTATCTGTGAGTGAAGATTGACTTCTCCCTCTTCCCCTATATTTGGAGGTTTATATGTACAAGCACCTTTAGGTGCTGCATTTTTTTAATGTTAGCTGTTTAGTTGGCTTCAGGAAACAGTTTTACTTAAAACGTTACTAGGCTTTGCACACATTTGTAAGCATTAAGATATACCTGGCACTTCTTTGTTCTCAGTTATAACTGTGGCTTAGAGGCACCAAGGGCCTTGGGTGAGAACCCTTAAATCAAACAGTCAATGGCATCGTATTCTATTAGCTGAGGATGGGAGTGCATGGTATGAGTTGGTTGTCTGTAACAGAAACCTGTACAGAGGAAATGATGTTTCTGCTCTTGCCGAACACCTAAAATATTATTTGCCTGGCTCTTATGCTAATCCATTGACTATACTACTGTTCTAGTCCCTGTCCCTCAACAAGTTTGGAGGTAAGGAGGTCTGACTTTACTGTCTGCATATTGGATACAAGTCAGTGGTTCATGCCACTGAAACCACATGCACAGAATGACTGCCAGGGAGCGAGCATTTTCCAGAAGTCAGCATTGGCATCCCACATATTCCTTTTCTTACCGGTACCTGTCATGCATTTTCCTTTTTGTGTTTCTTCTCTGTGTCAGAGAGCCTGTTGCTGGAGGCACAGACTGATGACATACACCAATCAGCCGTAACATTATGACCACTGAGAGGCAAAGTGAAGAACATTGATGATCTGGTTACAGTGGCACCTGGAAGTGGGGGGATATATTAGGCAGCAAGTGAACATGATGTTTTGGGCGCAGAAAACAAATGGACAAGTGTAAGGATTTGAGCCACTGTGACAAGGGCCAAATTGTAATGTCTAGACCAGTGGTTTTGTCGCGACCCACGAGTTGAGAACCACTGGTCTAGACGACTGGGTCAGAGCAACTCCAAAACTGCAGCTCTTGTGGGATGTTCGCGGTCTACAGTGGTTCAAGGAAGGAAGACCAGTGAACCGGTGATGGGGTCATGGGTGTCAAAGGCTCATTCATGCACGTGTGGAGCAAAGGCTGGCCCGTGTAGTCCGATCCAATAGAAGAGCTACTGTATCTGAAATTGCTGAAAAAGGTAATGCTGGTACCGATAAAAAGGTGTCTAGTGGACTCCATGACTCGACAGGTCAAAGCTGTTTTGGCAGCAAAAGGGGGACCTAATTAGTACTAGGTGGTGGTAATAATGTTATGGCTGATCGGTAAGCTGAACATGGTCTTGGCTGTATTTGCTTGCATATTGTATTAATCTGATCCCCACTGTTATGGTCAGTGGAGTTGTCTTTCAATATTTTACCACTGGCCATATGCTTCCTGTGGTCACAGAACTACCTTTTCCATGTGCACCATTTGCTGCTCATGAGCTAACCAGCCCTCCACTTTTTTGTTTCTTGTTTGGTATGCACCCATAAGAGCTATATACTGCTCTAAGCAGCTCCAGTCTTTCTATTGGCCAATGTACCTTAAGGATGCACTGGGGTGACCTCCTGGTAACCATTGCTAGCTTAAATCAGTAATGTTTGTGCATGTCCTAATATTAGACAATAGATACCTTTTTTATTTGACTTGCAGCACTCCTTACAGAAAGTCCCTTGTAGTGGGGAGTGCTCGCAGTGACTGCGGATGGCGCCGCAAAATGTAGAAATGTCACCAGCACACCAGAATCCTTTTTAGGATAGCAGAATGTTCATTTATTTAAACCCTTCGTGACTGACGACGTACAGTGTACGTCGCCAGCATCGGGGCTGTTTAAACAGACTCCTGGCGACTTTTGCCGCCGGGAGTCTGTTTAAACTTGTAGAGCCGACTGTCGGCTTTACAACAGAAGCGATTCTGGCGACTTACCTGTCGCCAGATTGCTTCTGTGTCCCGAAGCAGGGGATAATGTGGAATATAACATGGGTGCAAAAAATGAAAAAAAGGCCTCAGTCATGAAGGGGTTAAAGTTCCTTGAAGTCTTATAAACAAGTGTTTTCGGGGCCATACAGGGTCCCTTCACCATGCTTTCAATGCTAAGCCTGATGAGGGGACCCTGTGCGGCCCCGAAAACACTTGTTTACATGACTTCAAGGAACTTCAAATAAATGAATATTCTGCTATCCTAAAATGATTCTGGTGTGCTGGTGACATTTCTAAATTTTTGTCCTAATATTAGCACGCCAATAGATTAGAATAGGACCACATGGGCAAAGGCTGCTTGATTTTGGTGTGTAGCTTGCCCAGAGTTAGGCAATTGAGACCCCAGCTTTCATTATGATTTTTAGAAAAAGGTTCCAAATAAGTTCGGTGTAGCCGTCTAGGACAGGGGTTGTCAACTTATGTGTAGAAGGCCTCAACTGTGGCACCAATGGACCACACATAATATTCAGCATATGACAAAATTCTGTGAGATACTTCAGATGTACTAGTAAAGAAGCATAAAGACTACGACATGCAACAGGCATAACTAGAAACCTCAGGGCCCCGGTGCAATGATTTTGATACTTTTTTTTTTTTTTTTAAACCGGTTTTGAAAGGTTTAAAAAAAAAAGTTTTTGCATATATCTACTGCTTGGTAGCCGTACATATATGCAACAACACCAACACCTGAGGGTTTAATAACACTTTAAAACATTTTATTAATTTTTGGTTGGAAAACAAATGACACTGCAAGACAATGACACTACTCTGCACATATACAACAATCAGTACCTACCTGGACCTGCTGCAGCTCTCCTCCAGAATGTCCTCCCTCACAGCTCCTGATCTCGGTGCCTCCAGGCTGCCAATCCCTAATCTTCGCTGACCACGCTGCCAGGACGTCCTACAGCGGGTATCCCGCCAGGTGCCTTCTGGGAACTAGAGTTCCCTGATAGGTCACACCCCCAGCTACATCGTCTATTCTTCGCTGCCAAAAATACAGCGGGCCGCATGATGAGTAGCAGCGTGAGCAGCTGCAGGCGGCGTGCCATCCTCTTCTCTCTGGGCACCCCGCCCCCAAACTGGCAGAGCACCAGGTCCCGGTCGCAAGTGCGACCCTGGTAGTTCCGCCAATGGACTGGAGACATGCTACATGGGACTGCTAGATCACTGTCATTATAGGCTCTTTACAAATGAGTGCTTCCACTACTGACCGTTGGGGTCTGCAAGGAGCCATTTAGCAAGCACCAAGAAGCCGCTCGGCAAGCACCAAAGAGCCGCAGGTTGGGAACCAGGGATCTAGAAGATCTGAGTGCTAGCATATTGTCTGTTGTGTTGAGCTGCCATTTTACATATGCACATTTTTTTAAATCTAAATTCATTGTGCAGCATGGATTTTTTTTTTTCTATTAATAGTCAGAGATAGACCGACACAAATCAGTGAGCTAAAAAATCTGTAATCTAGACCGGAGGCTTGCAAGGGATGGCTTCCACCTGTTTCACAGACGGCTTACCCTGAATATTTTTATGACTGCTGCTGGATTGAGAAGACCTTGAAGAAAAGCTTCTTTATGTTTTGTTAGGATGGTTGGCAACTCGCTCTTTGAAAACAAGCTTTCCTCAAGGTTTATAGAGATTTATGAAGATTTGGATGAAATGTGTCTATTCCGGAGTAAAACGTTCCTGGCAGCTCTATGGGCATTCAACTCGGGTATTTAACGTGAGAGGGTGATATTGACAGGAATGTAGTTTCCTAGATCTCTGCCCATATTTTGATGGTGTAAAATATCTTTTGACAAGAAAACTCTGATTTGCAGCCGGGCCGTAGCCGTTTTGTTCAGAAGGGGATTTGCAAAGTTTATTTTTTCCCCTCTTGTGTTGCAGGACTGCATATTTGACTTGGGAGCTTTTACAATGCCGGTCTGTGCTTTATCTTCATTGTATCTCATGGAATGATTACGCTGACAAGCAGCTCTTCACAGACCTGTATTCCCTCTGCTGCCGAGGGTTGTAAAGTAATCATTTTCATCTGAACAGGGGTCCAGTTCTGCGAGATCTGGATTCAATGGACAAAGGCTATTTAGTGGTCTTAGCTTGCCCCCAGTTCTCATTGACTGTTTTTTTGTTGTTCCACACAAATTGGATGGCTCAAGCAGATCGCTCATAAAAACGTTGGGTGGCGAGATGTCCGCCCTTCCTTGTTTTAATTAGTAGCTGCCTCCAGTCTTTTTATTTTTCTCCCTGACTCTGGATAAAAACAGATCCTCATTATGTCTGTGAAGGTTCTCGTTGATCCAGGTCAATGGTATAGCTAGTAATTTGCCACATTGTAACTGGACTTATTTTGTTATGTTGAGGACGTTTCCGAATGTCTACAAACCGCTTCTTCAGTTCCAATGCACTAGTTTCAGGTTATGCACCCCCAAAATGTTTGCCAACATGCTTGTGAAGGTTCTCATTTGTCCCCATCATGTTATAGCTAGTAGTAGGTAGTCACATTTCAAATGGACTTAATCTGTTATGATGAAGAGGTTTCAGGTTATGCACCCCAAAATGTTTGCCAACATGTCTATGAAGGTTCTCTTTTGTCCGGTCATGGTAGTAGTTAGTCACATTTCAAATGGACTTGTTCTGTAATGGTAAAGACGTTTCATAGCTTCTCCAAGCCACTTCAGTTCTCTAAGCCACTTCAGTTCCAGTGCCCTTGTTTCAGGTTGTGCGCCCCCAAAATGTTTACCAACATGTTCGTGAAGGTTCTTATTTGTCCCTATCATGTTCTAGCTAGTAGTAGTTAGTCATATTTCAAATGGACTTGTTCTGTTTATGTTGAAGTTTCAAGCCACTTCTTCATTTCCAGTGCAACAGTTTCAGGTTCTGCACCCCAAAATGTTTGCCAACATGTCTTTGAAGGTTCTCGTTTGTCTGGTTATGGTATAGCTGGTTGTAGTTAGTCACACTTCAAATGGCCTTGTTCTGTGATGTTAAAGACGTTTCATAGCTTCTCCAAGCCACTTCTTCAGTTCCAATGCACTAGCTTCAGGTTTTGCATTTCAAAATGTTTGCCAACATGCCTGTGAAGTAGAAGTTAGTCACAGGTACTAGCTAGTAGTAGTTAGTCACATTTCAAATGGACTTGTTCTGTTATGTTGAAGTTTCAAAGCTTTCTCCATGCCACTTATTCAGTTCCAGTTCACCAGTTTCAGGTTATGCACCCCAAAATGTTTGCCAACATGTCTATGAAGGTTCTCGTTTGTCCGGTCGTGTTATAGCTTTGTGAAGCCGTTGAAGCCGTTTCATAGCTTCTCCAAGCCACTACTTCTTCAGTTCTCCATGCTACTGAAGAGAACCGTCACCAACATTACAGAGCAAGTCCTGTTGAGTGTGACTTGCCACTACTAGCTAGATGCTCGTATTGTAGAGTGAAAGGGTTGTGCCCTTTTCTATGGAGAAAACAAAAGGATCTTCCCATCAGTCACAGTGGTTTTTCAAGATGTTGGTCAAATTCTGTGACCAAGCCTGAGGTTGCAAGGCATGAAATCTCTCAAAACTGATCTTCTGGTTATTGCAAATATCACAATCGATGTGCCAATCTTCTGAAGCAATGAAAATGGTAGTCTGTGTGATCACCCATATAAGTGCTAGACATGTGCGATTCGTTTTGGACAAATTAGTTTTTTGTCGGATGATTCAGAGATTCGGATGTATCCGAATAACAGAAATGGTGAATGAAAACGAATCCAAAATTTCCGAAATCTAACTTTCGGGCTAAATTTGTTAACGGCAGTCTGTACGATTTTTCGTTGCAGCAAAGTGACGTTTAAAAAAATCTTTTTTTGTTTTTTATATTATTGTCACTGCTGCAACTAAACGAACATTCGTACAGACTACGGCTAACTAATTTTGTCCGAATGCCGAAACGAATTGACTTTCGGACCCGAGTCCCAAAAAAAGAAATAACGCAAAATTCAAAACTAAACAAATGTTTTGCTGGCGCACATGTCTAATAAGTGCTTGTTAGTCCTCGTTCACACCTCCTGTGTTTGTAGCTCGTATTAGTCGGTACAGAAAAGCACAGCACAAGCCTGTGAGTATGCGCCTCTTTTTGGGGAGATCAGCGCAATGTGATCCTTTTTTCCTATTCCTAATCGCGCTGATCTGCCCCCCAAAAAAACCCATGTACTTTTTTCCAGCGACTGGCTTTTTTTTCTCAGCACGACGCTATGCTGAGGCGTGAACGGTGACTATAGAAATCATGTGCAACCCTAAATATGATTTCTTGTGCAGAGCTTTTCCGTGCTGACAAATACGAGCTACAAACGCCCTGGTGTGAACAAGGACTAACTGCCTTCAGCCTCTGTCACGATGCACATAGTACGGTTTGCTACAGCTTGTCTGCCGGGTGAGCTGCCATGGCGGTCTGGTCTCAGTGATTGCCTTCAACCCTTGGCTGAGCATGTTTGGAGGCCTCCACTGTCTCATAGGATGGCATTACTCTTTTTTGCAATCGTCATTCTCTAAAGAGAAATGCCCTCCACTTCATAATCTGGCTCACATTCTAATAAGGAACTTATTGTTAGGCTTTGCATTACAGTATTTAGATGAGCGCTCACTTCAGAGATCTCCTGCACTACAGAACGTAGACCTCCTTCTATATTGTCCTCTATATGATAATTACCCAAAACTGGAGTTTAGCTTATTTGGGGTAATTGGAAGTAAGGTGGTGTGTCCTTTTCTTTTCAGTGTCCTTGCAAATTCTGCTACCGCCGTGATTTTAGGTTGCTGAAAATGAAGTAGAAAGCAGTAGTCCACTGTAATTTGAGGTCTCTAGAGAGCAGTATGTTGCTCTTTAATAGCAGCCCTGATTCCGGAAGAGGGAAGGAGGCAATCCATCATGTATCAGTTCTCCCACCATTTATGCTCTGTTCTCCACATTCCTTGTTCTTTGCTGCCCCGGGGCTTCTCTATATCACATGCATAAAACTAATATTTGTCTGTACGAAATACAGGTCTGATTTGATTTTGTTGGCTCGGCTTTAAGCTGCAAATGAATTGGCCGAGACCCCATCTTGTGCAGGTCAGTTCTCTCCAGTCCAGACCTCTCTCTGCTGTATGTCCTACCACACAGAGAGCTGTGTCCTGTGTCTGCCTGGGAGTGTTTATCTATGGCGCTATAGAGATGAGCACATTGATTAGACACTATCTCCATAGATAGGAGGTGCAGCATGGGGGGGAAGAATCTTATGTTGGAGCCCTAAAGTGTAATGACCTCCAAAATTTGATGTGAAAGGATGTATAGCCGGAAATCTACTTATAAAAACACATGTATGTATCTATTAAACAGAGACTGTTCTACTATAAACTGACTACTTAAAATGTATTTTAGTAAAAACTTTTAATCAGTTGACCTAACCTTTTTGTTATAATAGTAAAGGTTTAATAATCAACAGGGTTTTAAAAATAGCCACTCGAAATATACGATCATTTATAAAGCGCCAACATATTCTGCAGCGCTGTACAGTCCTTTAGACAAGACAAGAAACACTGACAAGGATCATTGACATACCGAAACAGTAGGTGAGGAGGACCCTGCCCAAATGAGGTTACAATTTAAGAGGAACGGGGATCAGACACAGTGGTGGTGAAGGGGAGACTACACATGTATACCAAATAAAATGGGAGGGGATGTGGGAGTACTGTGAAACGGGAGCAGAAGGGAAGGTTGTATAGGGTGAGAAATCAAGGGGGGAGCTGATATGCATCTCTAAAGAGGGATTTTTTTAAAAGTCTTGTAGGGATGGAGAGAGCCGGATGTGGCGTGGGTGAGAATTCCATAAGGTGGTGGCAGCCCTGTTGATGTCCCGTAGACGAGAGTTGGGTGAGTGGGCAGGATAGTCTCGGGTCATTAGTGGGACGAAGGGGCGATTTTTTGGAGTATATCTTCTAATTAGGGATGAAATGTAAGCCGGTGCGCGGTTATGCAGAGCTTTGTAGGGAAGGCTGAGAAGTTTGAAGTGTATCCTAAAAGAAACACATTTTTAATATGAAAACATAGTTCCCAAATTATAAAAAGGGGGCTCGAGCTTCTGTCACATAACCAAAACTCGAAAGCAACTGGACTCCAAATAGCTCCACATCGGATCTCACATGGAATAAAACCATAAGCGTCCATGGCGACATTCATGATCACAACTGTTGCATATGTTATTGCATGTCAGTACTGACAGGATGTCCAACCATCAATATATCCATGATCACACTAATCCAGCGCGTTATTAATCTCGCGTGCCCCACTCAATATGGCCGCCGCTTGAGTGGGGCAACTCAGAATAATAACGTGCTGGATTAGTGTGATCCTAGTTAATTTTATTACTTCATTGCTGTGCTGTTTGTGTATAGGCCAATGCCTTGGCTGGCGCTTGTGCAGAAACTTTCTTGGGCAAACTCACCGGCCCAAGTGGCTCCGTCGGCTAATGAAGGGGGGAGGAGTCCGGTGACGTCACGGACAGCCGCCCGGCTTCCTGATTGGTCATGAAGCTGGTCAGAAAGCCAGCTCTATGCTTCCTCGTCACCTGGCGACAAGGGAGCATGGAGCCTGCTTCCCGGCTAATCTGGAAGCCGGCGGCGAGTCATTACACACTTCCCAGTTAATCAGAAAGCTGACTCGTCACCCGGCTTCCTTCATAGGACTTCCGGTATAGACGAGTACCAAGAAAAAGAAAATCTGTACTCGTACGCAATATAAAAAAAAAACCATATCATTGCATCCTTAATAATTTTATACATTCATAGAAGATAGGTGTTCAAAGACATGGTCCCATTTTAGGCAAGTAAATCTGATATACTGCATGTTGATATTTTGTATTCTCTTTTGTGGCCAGCAGGTGGAGCTGTTGGCTCCTTTTCATGTTTAACAGACTCTCCTTTTCTTTTTGAGTAGTTGTTTTACAGACCCGAGGGAGTCATCTGTGCAGTCACACAGCCCTTATTCAAAATGAATGGCACAGCAACACATGTAGTGTGGATTGCTCCATCACCAGCATTACCACAACACACTAGTGTTAATGAGCCCTCAAACTTGCCATGATTTTGCATGTTCTGAAAGTAGCTTCTTAACCAGTCTCTCTCTCTCTCTCTCTGTTCCCTCCTACAGATTGACAGACAGCAGTTTGAGGAGACTGTGAGGACACTGAACAACTTGTATTCTGAGGCAGAGAAGCTAGGGGGACAGTCGTATCTGGAAGGCTGCCTTGCCTGTCTCACTGCCTACACTATATTCCTCTGCATGGAGACACACTACGAGAAGGTGGGTGCTTCGGCCATGTATTATTGCACCCCGCTGCAAGGTCTGTAGACCTGGCTGCATGTCTATTCTACTGAAGGGAAAGGTTTGCAGGCCTTCATATTAGTTCTTTTAAGCCCTTGCCGAGTAGTTTATTTTCCTCCTGAAGAATTAAAGCTGAGTGCGGATATAAAATGTGCCGTTTTTATTTGCAGTCGGCTGTGTTTAGTTGAGGTTTCTTGGAGAATGAATTGAGAGCTTTCAGCAGCTTGCAGATGAAATAGTTTGCCACGTACAGACAGATCCTGGATTTATTTATTCAGTCAGGGCTGGCCAGACTCTGCTGAACCCTCTCCCTTCCACCGAGCATCAGGAAGCAGCCTTCCCACGTAGACCGGCTCCTAGGCCCAACACCAAAGTGGTTAATAGGCGGCAGCCAGTGTCCTCAAACTCCCCCCACCCCCCTCACTTTCAACCTGACAGTAAATATTGGGTTGTTGGACAGCTCTTCTTAAGTGGCTCAAGGAAAGTGGTGGATTTGGATGAATTCACCTCTGTCGGAGATATATAGCACAACTGTGCAAAAGCTTTCTTTAGATATTGGGTTTATGTACTTATCCATCATTCTGTTCCTGTACATTAACCCGTATGCTTCCGGAGATGTGGGTCACTCTCTAAGACAATGCTGTATAATGAGCAAACAAAATGCACATTGGGCTGGGAACATCTACATTTGTTTGTGATTGGCATTGTCTCGGACATATCTCATCAGGGACCCCCAAATGACGTCTTTCATCATTGTCATGTAACCTAAGGGAAGTTCACATCTATGAATTCGGATTCCATTGGAATAAATGGAAACACACATTAACTCATGCAAGAACATGTGTTGACATGCAACACAGTGCACTGCAATGCCAGTGCCCATCAACGTGAATTTCTATTGTAATGGAAAACACATGTGCCTAAAACTTGCCTTGTTGGGGACACTAGAAGCCCTGAATTTAGGAAACACTAATCCATAGCAACCAATCAGATTATTCCTTCCAGTTTCCCATACAGCACTGGGAAGGCAGCACTTAGAGATTATCCTGATGACTAGGGATGCACCGATACCGTTTTTTCTGTATCGAGTACCGATACTTTGCTTTCGGTACTCACCGATAGAGAGTACCGGTGCTTCCGCTGGCATGGAGCAGGCAATCGGGAAGCTGCGTGGTGGGTAATGACATGCCACCCGGCTTTCCGATTACCCAGGAAGCAGACTCCGTGTTGTTTGCCCGACTTGATTGTGATTGGCTGGGAAACCGGCTTCCCAGCCAGTCAGCATCGAGTAGGCTTTCCAGCCAATCAGGGAGGCGGGTCATTACTTGCTGGCCAGCTTCCTGATCCAACGGGAAGCTGGCTCCATGTTCACCTACGGCACTGCCGATCAGAGGAAATCTTCCTCTGACCGGAAGTTCCAGTATCGGGGGAAGGTATCGGAGCATTTGGGGAATACGAGTACTCACCCAAATACTCGGTATGGGCACAGATACCGGTATTGGTGCATCCCTACTGATGACCTTTGTCACTAATGAGGTCTAAATGAAATGTTTTTAATTTCCTATTCTATTCCCATTTGGAAACCAGATTACAGCTCCGTGCTGTGCATTTCTGCAGCCGCTATGCCTTGGTATTGCTTACTTGATTTACTTACCGTACTAGCGCTAATGGAACATGAGAAATATACAGGCCACTGTTGTCTGTTTTACTGAAAATACAAGTTGCCTGGGTGTCATCCCTGTTCAATGGCTTCTTTACTTGGAGTCACTGGCCTAGAACAAGCATGCAGAATTCAGACTTGGGAAAGTTCACTTAAAAATGAGTTTCTATAAATGTTGGGTTTTTATTGGAATGTAATTTATTTTTCTTTATCTGCTCTGTGTCCCCTTCTGTTCGGTCTTCCCCTTCTTCTGTTGTGTCTTCTCCTTCTCCTATCTGCTCAGGTTCTGAAGAAGATTGCAAAGTATATTCAGGAACAGAATGAGAAGATTTATGCTCCACAAGGTCTCCTCCTCACTGACCCAATAGAGAGAGGGCTCCGGGTGGTATCCTTTTCCCATCTCGCTGTATGTGTATATAATATCTGCTCTAAGAAGGTTTAAAGTGACACTAAACTCTGGAGTTAAATCTAAAAAATACATCCAAGTACCTTATCTATCAACAACAATGTATCTTATTTGTGTATCACTCGGCTGTAGATCCTCAAATCATCTCTGAATTGGTGCGGACACTGTCCTTCCTTCTGGAGGGGGGGCTACTTTTGTTCCCCATGGTCCCTGTGTGTGCTGTAAAGTAGTCACCGCTCCAAGCTCACTCCCGTGATGGACTACAATCTCACGTTTAGTTTACTAATCTGTATTGAGATGGTAGTCCATCACAGGAGTGAGCTTGGAGCGGTGACTACTTTACAACACACACAGAGACCATGGGGAACAAAAGTAGCCCTCCTCCAGAAGGAAGGACAGTGTCAGCACCAATTCAGAGATGATTTGAGGATCTACAGCCGAGTGATACACAAATAAGATACATTTTTGTTAATAGTTCAGGTTCTTAAATGCAACAGAATGGAGTCAGCTTCCCGGGCAATCAAGAAGCTGGGCGGTGGGTAATGACCAGCGCCTGGCTCCCTGTTTGCCCACAAAGCCGGCTCAATGCTCCCGGAAGTACCGGTATCAGCGAGTGCCGAAATATAAATATTCGTACTCGATACCGAAAAACTGGTATGGCTGTGACTGTGGGCTCTAGGTAAATATACACCCTAGGGCAGTGGTGGCGAACCTTGGCACTCCAGCTGTGGCAAAATCCCAACATGCATCTGCCTCTGGGAGTTATGTCTGTGGCTGTCAGAGCCTTGCAATGCCTCATGGGACTTGTAGTTCCCAAACAGCTGGAGTGCCAAGGTTCGCCACCACTGCCCTAGGGTATGTACTTTAGGTCAGGGGGTTAGGAAATAAGGATAGGTGCAGTTATTGTTTAATGAGCTGAACATACCAACTTCCAGCTGGAGATCACATGTGAAAGCAGGGAGACCGAAAAACTCACTTTTGCTCAAACCCAGAAACTACCCACTGTGATGGAGGAGATAAAGAACTTTAGGACAATGTGACCCCGGAACAACTGTTTTATATACATTATTACAGTGTGACTATACAGAGATGTAGCAATTTTAATATTAGTGTATTGGTAACAACCAAGTCCTGACCGATTAGGAGGAAATGTTGTGTCTGTTCTGTCTGTACGTAGTTCCTGTTCCTTGACATACCGTACAGATTGAAATCACAATCTACGAGGACAGAAGTCTGACTGGCAGATAGGACAGGTATGTGATGTTTACCTATTAGCTGTAAGAATTTATATAACTGAATAATTGGGGGCACAATTTATCAGAATATTGCCCATGTGATGTCCACAACATTTCTGGCATAATACAAGGAAAACAACAATTAAGTGTCTCGCTAATTACAGTAGAGGTGTGGCAGAAGCAGCCAATCCCCTCTGTTAACCTAACCATACACTATGGCAGGGGTAGGCAAACTCTGGCCCTCCAGCTGTGGTGCGAGTAGAAATCCCATGAGGCATTGCAAGACTCTTGGCAGCCACAGGCATGACTCTCAGTGGCAGATGTGTGATGAGATTTGTAGATTCACCCCAGCTGGAGAGCTGGAATTTGCCTACCCCTATACAATGGGGTTCTTCACACATCACTAGCGCCCCTAGATGGGACTGATGAGTTTAGGAATTTCCTGTACTCATCAGCGCCATCCAGGGGTGCTAGTTCTCTCTTCACAGTAGAGTTCTGCATCTATGTACAGTATACCTGTTCAGGGCAAGTGTGTACTCTCCCCTGACCCGTAGTTTTGGGTGTAGGTCTCAGTGTAAATCATTAGAATAATTAACTGTGCACTGCCTCTCTTTTTCCCTCCACACAGGTGACCAATCCTTTGCATTGTAAATACTTTCTGCTGCACAGACCGTCCTCCCTGGCATTCCTTCAATCGTCATTCCCATGTCTGCAGCACATCCTTCATGACTTTTTTTCCTTATTTTACCCGATGGACCCAGTGCCCCCTCCCGTGCCAATCCGTGGCCATGCCAGCCTGCTGTCTTTATGGCTGAACAAGCAGAGAAGAGGGATGAAGATGGCTTAGCGGAACAGATATCGCTCTCGGGGGAGAATCTTGGGCTTGGGATTGTGCCAAT